CGACATTTCTTAACATAGATCATCCCTGCTCTGTTTGAAACGGGGTCAAATAGGACGCGGGCATCAAACGCCCGTGGGATGCCACTCAATTGCAGCACATTGAATATAGGCGGCACTCCAGTTTCTTTTGTATCCCACTCGCTATATGTGTGTATTCATTATACAGTGAGTGTCTCTTTATAAGTTGACTTCTCTGTTCCTTACTTAGGTTCTGTTTTATATTTTGTATTACTTTACGAGTATGACATATATAATATGATATTTTACGAGTATTTGCCTTTGAAGCGTTGTTTATAGTATATTTTCACGCTTCTTTTGGTTTTTATTGTCGTTTCATTTCTTTGAAAAATTAACAGTCGATGGTTCTATTTAAATTTTGTTTTGGATTAGATTGTTCAGACTTTTAACCGAATTAAAAAAAGTTATTGAATAAAACTATTTCTTTTCTAAAATCTTCGGATTTTATCGCGTTTAATTAGGTTATTTTAAATTCCCGTGGTTTGGGGGACTGAGTGTTTGAAGTCCCGATGTCATAGTTAACCCTGCTACCTTCAGTTCTTAAATATTCATTTTTGGTCGATCAATACAGAACGAGCTTTCAGTGTCTTGGAGTGATATCCTTGGGTTTGGATTTAATTTTGTTAATTATAGAATCCAAAGCAGATGGAAGCAACCATTCATCTGCTCTCTTGAAATTAGAATGTTTTTTTTTAATTTCAATAGCCTCGCGTTCGCCTCCTTGGCAGGAATCGGTGTTCTTTTGCTAGAATTTGTGGTCGATCAAATCTGATGTAATAACGGGGATGATCTTGAACATGTTCACAGACTGCGGACTTCCCAGATATTGTATATATATATATATATATATATATATATATATATATATATATATATATATATATATTATGTCAGTGCCTGTATAAAGCACTCGAATCATCGGGAATTAAAAATAAGTTAATTAAACGCCATAAAATCCATAAAAATAATTTTATTCAATGTGTGTACTACACGTTAATATAATAAATCATTAAAATTAGATTATACATTAGACGCGTACGTTTTTTAATAAGACCTCCTCGTTGTGAGTTTAGCCTGTGTTTGTTTATGTAGACTTTACTGGTTGGGTCTTGCTTGAATCTATCAGTGCATTTTCAAATATTGCAATGAGACTTAGGGAATGGCCTAAGTGTACCGTGTGTTGTAGTAGAAATTTATATATGATTTAATTTATCCAAACTCTAGACACAATAATCCTTTAAAGCTTTGTGATTAATCGGTATCCTTGCTTAGTAGATAGTTGATATCCTTATTTAGTGTGAGGCTTAGTTCGTGGCGAATTTCAAGACAGTAGCCATTTGTCACTATGGCTTCCGGAGTGCTATCGTTACGCGACCAGCGTCTATGTCGACGTTATTTATGACTGAGGAAAAGACGACGAACTTTCTTTTTTGATAAACATTACAGCACGGTAATATTATCTATACAGTATTGTAACTCGGCCGTATCTTTCAAATAAATGCCTACAGCCGTGCGGCACGTAAACATGTGATAGGGTTACCTGCCTCCAGCATTTTTACATTTGCCTACTTTGTGTTTACATTTAGTTTTATGATTGTAAATATACTTATTATATAAACAAATAAAATAGGTACTTTGTGAATTGAATAGGAAGTGTTCAATAAAAATGCGTGTCGTTTTTTGATTGGTAGATTTAATTAAAAAACCGTGTTTATGTTTGAATAACAAATCCGTTAAATAAATTTGCAACCGAAAAATATTTGCACCTCGGCTGAGACTTACGAAATGCTTTATTATTAGATTTTTAAATATAAAAAATCCGCTTTCTAATATAAAGCTAAAAATGATATAAATTAAAAATTGTTTTGGGAAACATGGACAACGTGGAGAAAAGGAATATCTTTTAATTGGTTATAGATACCTGCAGCTACTTTACAATTTATATGTTTGTTTTTAAATGAAGTTCAGATTTATTATTTCTTTATTTCTATTCTATTATTTATTTCCTCCATTTTTTATATATTTCACAAAATCATCACTGCGGCACAGTCAACTGTCTGCATGCCGAGCGCATGCCGAGATCGAGGCGCGTAGGCATAGCTCTCGCTTCGTCCGTTTCTATGAAGTTGGAATACTGTATAGATAAAATTACCGTAATTACAGTGAGTGTCTTGTTGTTACATTTACTTTTGTGAGAACGTCCAACGTGTTGTGATTGGTTCGTCTCTGATATTGAAGGGATATTTTGTTGAAATGGTTTCTGATTGTTTTCCTTGGATCGATTTTGGGGTTCATCGTCCTTGTCAGGTCCGTGTTTAACGGTCTACAGTTACAGGCGACGTTGGGAATAATTTTAGAGGTTACGTATGCTTTTGTAAAGATTATTAAGAAATAAATTTTTATAATGGAAAAGTCATTTCTCAAACTTCATCAAAACTACTGTCTTGAACATACTTTTTTCCATCTATGTGTAGATCTAGCTATTTTCCAATTATTGAACGCATGGCAATAAATACACGCAATAAACTTCAACTTTACGTAATAATGTTAAAGGTCATTTTAACATTTTTAATTATTGATATACGATATTTCATTTAATGGATTCAGCAAATTTGATATTTGTGATATATATCGGCCAAGCTTCATAAAATCGTATTAAGCTGCTGCAAATACTGACACGAATTCATTCTCGAAATAAACTATATACATACTCAAAATTGCTGCTCAGTTTACTTCATGCGCACAACCCATAGGGTTGCCAAATCGTATAAATTCTCTAGAGTTGTCATCAATCTAACGTAATCTTAAAGATATTGCTTGATGTCATAATAAATGAATGATTGGTCCATTGTCATACTTATAAACGTCGTAATTTGGTTTTATCTCTGTTCTAATCAGATCTTGAAGCTTTTAAGAAAGTTTAGATAAAATTATGTTGCAATTTAAAATAAACTATCTAAAATAACTTATGTACTTCCACTTTCTACGAATTATTTTATCAGTGTCAATACATTTTTATTGGGGTATGATTAGAAGAGTCCTTTAAAATATGTATCACTTAAAAATCCTGCATTCTTGCATTGTTGAAATGTATGGCTCTCTCCATTTACTTTTGAATTGATGAATATTTATTAAAATTTTAAAGAAATTTTAAATTATATTGAAAACTTTAGATGATGTTGATAAACGCCACAACGGAATCGTATCATACGCGTGACCAACATGTAACTTAGCAGATTCTTGATATTTGACAACTCATATCTTCTTTTTAACGATCTGGCAACCCTTATTGTAATTATGAAACGTGCACGATTCCTTTACACGTGGTTTAAAAACACATTCTAACACGATGGTATGAAATAAGATGATATTTTTAGTATTCATAAATACCTAACGAATGTTTAGTATGATACAGTATGTTTAGTATCGTGTATAGGGATTTCCTCGTGAGGAAAGCGGACAATTCGATCGTAGACAGAACTAAAAAATACAATGAACCATTGTAACACCATTAGAAAACCAAATATACTTGCCATTAGAATGCTGCTTGCCGTGTTTCATATGTATTGATGTATACATATGATATATATATGATAAACATAACATTTAGTAAATGTTATGTTTATCATATATATCATATGATAAACATAACATTTACTAAATGTTATGTTTCACAAGTCACAAGTCCACTGCTGGACGTAGGCCTCCCCCAAGGAATGCCACAAAGTATCTGTCTGAGCCAACAACATCAGTTCTTCTACTTCGTCCTCTTTTATAAAAATTTAGCTTTATTTTGGGCTGTATCCTCCTAGACATAAAGCGGCCATCAAATGAACTTGTTTGTGAACTTTTTATGTTTGTAATAACTTATCACAAACACAAAAAGAACAAAAAACAACGGATTCCAAATGATTTATGAATTTAATGTCTTTTGTAAGAAACTCGATGAATAATTAAGTACGTACCTATTTCTCTCCTAAATGTTACCATGGCACGGTACTGACACCTAAATGAATCTAATGAAAGTTATTTAATAAATGCGAATAAATTATATTTAAACAATAAAAATATATATTCGTTGTCCACATTACATGCCGTGGCAACCGTTAATTAAGACGACGCTTAGATATAAACCTTTCTGTAATTTGTAGTATTTACATTATGTTCGTGTCTTGTTGGTTGTCCTAAATAAATTAAAAAAAATTAACAATACGGTTATTATAAAGCATAATTTCCCTCTTGAAATAAAAAAGGAAAATTAATATAAAATAATTATTTAGAAAATCCAGTTTATTAACATAGTCGTTTCTAATGACAACCAAACCCCCCCTCCCCCTCCCATCAAATCTACCGCCCTGTCCAAGCTTTAGGAGCCTAAGCACAAGTCCGCGAAAACTCTTATCTTATTTCATACCAACACACAGTTTCAACATCAACACGTACTCATTGGCTATTTCAAAAGTCGTGCCCAAAAGTAGCAACATTGTTTTGCCGAAAATTTACTTTTGTTCACTGTAAACGCATTGGGTATTTGTATAAAACATAAAACATCAATCATAATATACATTTAAGAGAGTAATGTGCTTTTTGTCTTTAACTTTAATGATTTCTTTCGAACCTTATATTATTGTACGAGAATCGACTGCGAGATGGAACAGCTTAATTAAAAAAAATTGTTCACAATTGAAAACTACTATTTTTTATTAGTCATAACTAATCAACATACTTTCCGGTAGTTTAAAATGTTTGTAACTATTTTTATATTAACTTTTTAGTTCATATTTTACTTCATTAAAATTATATTTGCTAATGATAATATTTCCCTAGTAGAATACGATTACCTACAATTTCTGTACAGAACTTTAAAAATGACTTGATCTTGCGCAGTCCGTTCAACGTACTTATTAACACATATCATATTCAAGCCAAAACATTTCACTCCACCTGCCCTGAAGCCCAAATAACATACAATTTGCTCGCAGCAGTGGAGCCAACGTACCACTTCAAGGTCCTGGTGCCTTCAATGGTGGCGGGTGCCATCATCGGCAAGGGCGGCGAGACCATCGCCCAGCTGCAGAAGGACACCGGTGCGAGAGTCAAGATGTCCAAATCCCATGACTTTTACCCCGGTGAGTTGCTTTATAATTTACGTTTTTTATGTATTCGTATTCTATGATGTAAGGTTTACTTATAAAATGTTTTTCTGTTTAGAGAATATAATGTCTCTATATATTTTAATCAATTTTGATAAAAAAAATTGTCTGTGTTTGAGTGGGTCCTGGGTGGTTTAGATTAAAAATTAGACCCGGTAGGTGGTCCTGTTATCGAGATCCAAAAATCATCCGTACGAAGCCTTGGCGGATCGCAAGTATTTAATATTTCTTGGTTATAAATACCACCCTACAGATAATACACGAATCGCACGACATGAGCTGGGTATTAGGTTCGATTATCATCAACGACATTACAGCCTGCCGTCCGCCGCTGAACGTAGGTCTACCCCTAAGGAATCACAGCACGCTCCTAAGCTGCCTTCAACCATCTAAAGTTTGATAATGGTATTGATAAACGAATGAAATAACGTATGATATAATATGTTGTTGTATATTTTAATTTTGACGATGTATTTTTACGATGATACCATCTACCAAAATATACTTAAATCTGATTTCGATAACCATTGCTATTTTTGGCGTACATTAAAAAGTGAACTCTATAAAGCATTTTCTAGTAGTAGAGCCACGCTGCGGCTATATTATGATTGTAGCGCGATTGAGTCGGCTCGATCAGGGTAGGACCACGCTCTCATAGAATACCAGTGTAAAATAGGAGCTTAATGCTGCTGTGTATCGTATGGTGCGTGTAGAGATACCAGAGACCCTTTTGTACTGTAAATGAGGCATTCCTTTACAGTACAAAAGGGTACTGTAAAGGAATGCCTCATTTCTTCTTCTCTCTTAGTCCTCAGAGGTAACAACTAATTTGAATTTTGATTCTTAATCGAGGATAAATGTAGACGTCTATGGGCCACAGAAACTACTTACCATCAGGTGGACTGTGTGTCCGTTTCGTTTGACACCCTTCTTTTATAAAAAATAATAGTTTATTCGACGATACCATCTACTTTATTCTAAGTTTTGATTTCGAAAACCATTGCTATTATTTGGAGGTTCATTAAAAAAATTCAGGTTTATAAAATGTTTTCTAGTTTATAAGAAAAATTCGTCAAGTATGTAATTGTGAAAAGATTTTCGTAAGCCAAGAAAATTGAGCGAAACAATAGTGAAAACGAAGTACATAAATGTTCACGTCCCCGTTCGCGGTTCACTACACCGCCTTCAGTCATTATCTTTGCCTTTGTCGAAATACATAGAGAGTATTAAAAAAACAAGCTCTGAAAATAATAGACTTTCATAATTTCGCTATTCTCTCGAGCATAGTAATGACTGTGGTCGTTTAAAAGTTTCCGTGGACTTGAATTAAAAGCATGAATTATTGCGAACACGCTGGAATATCTGGAGAGGCGTGCGTTGACCCAGTTGTGTCAGGATTTAAGCGCGCCAGTCGGCCAAAGAAGCGCTTTGTTCGCTGAGAGACCTACTTATGAGCTAGGGCGTACGTCTGCTACGGTTTTTGTGGACTTGTCCCAGTTTAGAAGCGGTCTGGGTAGCAGGGTGGTGCTTTTACAATAGTTATTTTTGTGTCAGTGAATTCATTTTCATACTAACTTAAGAAAAATAGTGTTCGTAGAAGGTTCATGTTACAAGTACTTTATAGATCTACAAGTAACTTGTTAAGGGGCCGCCACCACAGCGATAATAGGGTTTCTCGGAATATTATATATTAATAAATAAAGTTACCGTTAACTTTGCTGTTAAAGCCTATTAAAGTCCACTGCTGAACATAGGCCTTCCCTATAAATGGCCTCTTAGGAGGTATATTTGCCATAGTTGCCACGCGTAGCAAGCGATTTATTTTTATTATAATTTGCTCACGAATCACGAACGCCTATGTTCTGGTTGACCGACGCGGTCAGAATGCCTGCTGTCTGGAGTCTGGGGCGTACGTCTATGTAACGTAATACAACACAAGGAACGCAGAACGCGAACGCGAAACGCTTGAACGCCTTTTCTCTGATAGATCCCTTATCAAGATAAATAAGGATGTATCCATGGCCACAGTAAGTCAGAATTGAGAAAACATCTCGTACTCGTATGTCACGTATTAGCTTCTTACAAATCTCGCTACTAACTAGCCATTAGCGGCATTAAGTACATGTAAGTGTTGATTATCGTTTCTTAAATTAAGTATGAATGATATCAATATCGTTTTAACATTTTTTAAACTGCTTTTTTTTTGCTAGTAAAGCCAAAGATTTTCAGATACATCGATCTATTACATCTTTATAAAGTCCGCTGTTGAAGATAGGCCTCCCCTCATGGCCTCAAAGGGGAGATTTTGCCAAGTGGCCACGCTTGGCAAGCGGGTTGGCAACAGCAGCATTTTATTTTTTAAGGTTTTGTCATGAGCAGACTGGTGCCCATGTCCTGTTTCATTATCCCTCTGCGCCTCTTACGACACCTACGGGATGACATGAGGTAGTGGATATTCTGACACCGCCACTACATGGCTAATATTCGGATAACCTGTATATTTTGAACGCTTCTGCTCAATTAAATGAGACCCGAAAATTTTATCCATGTAGACTGCGAGTGTAGATTTATTAATTATTATACTTTGAACATTTCTATTCGTATGTCGTTACTGTAGAAATTATGCTAATCCTACATTGCAGTGACCGAGTACATCGCACATCGGTTAACACCAGCTTATTATTTACTGTATTGTTATTTCAAATGATAAAAAAACGCATTGAAACAATGGCCTACATGCGACCTTCGAAGATACAACATTAACCGTGTTGATGAGAGCAATCTGTTTCACTTCCTAACAATTGTTTGTTTAACAACTGTTTGACGATCATTGCCAACTCGATAGGCATTCTTTCTATAGTTTCAATGGAATAAATTGATATATATTCTTTTAAGGTGACTAGCGAAATAATACCTTTATAAATTATAGCCTGTAATAGTTTGATGTATGATCTTTCATTAAAATCCGTTCAGTAGTTTTTGCATGGGAGAGTAACAGACTTACATCCCTAGAACGTTTATACTATAATAGTCGGATAGGATATGACTAAAAACAAAAGGAGGTTTACTATTCGATTGTAAGTTGTTTTTTTATAACATCGGCAATTGTGAATCAATTTTGATGAATTTTTTATTAAATAGGTATATAAAAATTCCACCCCTAAATCTGGAAAAATTGGAAATGACGTTCTAATGTAACTATTTAGACAACTTTACCTTGTTACCTCGAACTTGTGATATTTCTCCTTAGTCCTTAGTGCTATATCTACGTCAATTGTGAACCGAATTTCAATGATTCTTTTATTAAATTGGTTATACTTCAGGGTCCCATGATTCCATATATTTCATATAATATGGGGCTTTAATTATTATATACATTATGATATCACTGAGTTCTGAAGCTGTAAAGTAAAAAATTATTTTACTCTTTCGAGTCCTTTAAAGTCGGTTTATACATTATTTTGAAAATTAAATTAACATTTATTTAAATCGGTTCCGATTGCATATTTATTCGTATTCATGTTTGATAATTTAGCCATTAGTAATACAGATTACATTGTGAGTGTCGCCAAGCTTCAAAGCAAGAATGATAATGGGATTAGGCTTTTTAATAAATCAATGTGTTTTTCTTTGTCTACACCACCACTTTGCCTTTGGGTGGAATAGTAGTAGAAATATTATACCGTTGGTCCTGCGCCTGTTTTTTACCCGATCGTGTCGGAATTCCGTCTCAACTAAGAGTAATGAAATACAGAGTGCTCTTGTACTCGTGTAATCCTGTCCTTTTTTTTAACACGGGGAAATGCCTACGCATACCCGCCTCGCGGGGGCAAGGACGGGTTATGTCGGACTCGCACCGACTAAAACCACATGGTGTTCCACCTTCGTCGCATATGGGCAGGGCTACGGGAACGCTTTCGCACACTTCCGCGGCCCTACCAGCGACTGCCGCCCCATGGCAGCACCTCCTCGGGAGAGGAATATTCCTCTCCGTTCTCCTTCCCAAGTAAGGCGCACCAGAACACATGGCACGCCTTCCTCCACGGCCTCCAATTGCATCTGCGTAACAGACGCCCCCCGCGTCCGATGCGCGAAGGCCATGGGGCCAGGAAAAACGAGCACTTAGAAGTACTAGCCTTCCCGACCCCAGCGGCGGATCTGGTCTATGGCTCCGCCGCCAACCAAGATTCGGCTGCGGAGGATAGGGAGAGCGGCGCCTCACAATACCGACAATCCTCTCCCCCGCAGCCCCATCACCACCGCATCAACGGTGCGGCCCCGTTTGAGTCGCGGAGGATAGGGCGAGTGGCGCATCGCCATACCAACACTCCTCTTCCTCCGCGACTCCACCTCGGCTGCAGCGGTAGAGAGTGCGGAGTCCCCACTCGCTGCAGTCCACCAGCACACATCCGAAGTGGGCTCCCCAAGCCCACTCGGAGTGGCCACCTCAGGCCGGCCCTTCACCTCGGGCCAGCCACGTGGGTTCCTCTTTGTTCACCGTGGGAGACCAAGCCACGGCTACTAAGCCCCCCGCCACGACAAGGCGGGAACGGGAACAAGGGAGAACGGGGTGCAATCCTGTCCTGAGCTGATGGCTAATCTCTATTGAGAGTGACCGCCATAACCAACAGTTATTCTGGAGAATATCATCACTATTGTATATCGGACGCCATGAGGTCATTAGATCTTACCTGAGGTGACTCCTCCTAGTACACCCGATATTGGTGATAAATTGCCATGGGCTGCCACATGTTTTATGAAAGTGTATTTTACATGAATTCTTTATTCAATCTTAACGTTAAACTTTTTAAATTAAATTGAAATACAAGTCACAAGAGTCTTGCTAACGAAAATTGCTAAGTTGCTTGCTATGGACACGAGCACACTATTGGGAAGATTGGTCGTTCCGTCGACCGACTCGTTATTAGTCATTTTTATGCTTCGATCAATATTGTTGATCGAAGTTTATATAGCAA